GTGCTGTTTCAAGCAGAGGTTCGTCTCTCCTCTTTGGTGTCCAGCTGGACTTTGGTGCCTCTGTGTGCAGGGAGACCATTAAAACCTTCTTCACTGTGAGGGCAACTTGTCTCGTCTCTTTAGCCAACGTGAATCAGAGAAGTGAAGGGATAGCTTCCCTCATTACTAAACAAAGTTCTGTTAAAACAGTTTCCAAAACCCAGGAAGACAGCTCCTCACCCTTCTGGCCTTCTGAGAGGAGACAAACCTACCATAAGGTGGAGTGAGACTTCATACATCTGTCCTGTGGAGTCATGGATCCTGTATGGATGTGATAAAGTTGTAATGGACCTCTAACAGAGTCAAGTAATGAGCTGTGACCTTTTTCTTCTGACCCTGTCCAGTACTCATATAATAAAGAGGAAAGGAAGTGAAATGTAGTTTTTCTTCGTTAGTTGCATGTTTAATGGCCACACCGTGTATCACCACATTATGGGAAGCAGCCTTCAGCAGCATCACACAGTCAAACCGTTACCAAGCTTCTGCACTTCCATGAAAGCAGGCATCTGACTTACCAATGTTCATCCTTCTCCTCATGCTGTGTTCTGTTCACACGGACAAACAGGTCAACCAGTTGGAGAAGTTCAATCTGAAGAACCGGGCGCTGAAGGTCCAGGAGAAGAAGCTCCTGCAGCAGCTCCAAAGGAAGAAAGAGCTGGGAAAAGTGGAGTATGAGGTGGAGAATGAACGACTGACTGGGAGGATCAGAAAGCTTGATAAAGAGATGGTTTGATCAGTTGTGTATATTTTGTGAGTTGCAGCAGTCTGCTGACCAGAGTCAGTTCATCAGCCATGAGTTTGAGATTCTTGAATCAGGAACTGACTTTAACATAAATGATCGTTTACGGCTGTTTGGTGAATGCACTGTGCTGTGTGTTGCATCCAGGATTTCTTCCAGGAGTACAATGAGCCGAGAGTTGAAAAGAACCTGGATGAACTTCAGATCAACAGTCTGAAGGTGCAGCGTGTCCTCAGCTCGCACAAGGTGACTCGCTGTGAACTAGTCTGAGACACACATCGTTTGTTTTCAGTGTTCATTTGTGAAACTAATCCTACCGCTGCAATCCTGTTAATCTGTATTTTACACTAGTCTGTCAGATCTGTGTGTGCCTTTCTGCCTCGTGGTCTGAGACTGTTGGTGTTTCTGTGAGCAGGAGAAGCTGCAAAGGGTCACGTTGGAGTCCACAGAGTTGAGCAGTGACATCAGCAGAAGGAGACAGCTGCTGGCAAAACTCGAGGAGGAGATACAGCAAGCTGAGGAGGTTTGGTGTTGACATTAGTCAAACTTTCAGNTCCATCGCCGCTTGCGGCTTTAATTCTTATTGTCACAGGATTTGATTTCCAAACACCACCAGACAACCTGAATGCTTTTTATGGTTTCATATGAGCAGTTTACTCTGTGTGGCCTCCAGACACAATTACATGAAAAATTAGTGACATTTCTAATAACATGTTAAGGGTTGTGATGTTGGGTAAGATCTGCTTCAGTACCACTTAAATCATTTTAATTCTGTTCCCAGAACAGAACTCCTCTCTGCACTCTTCTCCTCCTTCTACCTCTGTAACATAGCGTGCAGTGGCTTTATGGTGTGCTTAATGTTGGTTTAACATTGTACTATTATGTATGTCGTTTTAACTCCCATGCACCAAGCAGGAATCCTAATCTGGTATCCTGAATGACAATGAAGGCTTTCTCTTCTGTTCTGTGCCTTGAGGGATGGAGGCGGCGGCCCCGAGCCGACATATCAGATCGCCTCCAGCTGCTGACCTTGGAACAAAAACTTTATGTGGCACAGAGAGAAGTGAGCGAAACACGGCAGGACCAGGAGAAAGTCAGGCAGAAATATGAGAGAACCCAGGACGACTACAAGGTCAGAACACACAGAAAAAAACAACACAAAGAAGAAAACATGCACATATATACACAGAGAACATTCCTTCAGGGCTTCTGCTCGTCTTCCAGGCCGCTATGGAAGAAGCAGAATTGTGTCTCGCTGACATCAAGAAAGCAAAGAACGAGTTTGAACGCAAACTGCTCAAAGACACCAGGCTGGAGATGAAGGAGCCAGAGAAGCTGCTCCAGTACATTGAAGACAAGCTAACGGTAAAAATTTAGTTGGATTAACATTAATCTGTGCAAAGTAATATCTGAATAGATTGTGACACCGAGCCGGACAGTCGGATGGCGTTACAGTGGTGGAGGTTGAGTTTGTTGAAGGTTATGCACACTTCTCATAAGTCATGCTTTTATTTAGAGCTATCCATTCATAAATGAAGAGTTCATTTGCAGTAACAGAGAACTGCATCTTCACAAACCTTCAGAAACCCACTTTTCTGTCTTCTACCTGAGACAACATCAATAATCTTCAGTTATCTGTACTTATGTCATTTCCACCGAGTCAGATCCACTCAGCTTCAGTTTGACTGATATTATCTCAAGCAAAAAACAAAAAAATAGGTTTTCTGAAAATCTACAAAAATAGAGTAAACTGTTTGCAAATGAGCTCTTCACACGTGTTTTTATGCTGTTTGTCACAGTCAGCATACGAGGCCTGGCTGTGAAATAGACAGACGATGGCTGTAATTCAAGTTTAACGAAGAAAACTTACATTTTAGTTGCTTTTCCTTTCATTATGCTTTGCAGCTAAACGCCGGTGATCTACCAATCAAAGCAATGCACCTGGTCGTCTCCAGCCAGTTGTCTCAGAAGCTCTGTCCTTTTGGAATGGACATGACACTGGGCCTCCTGAGTGCAGACTTGATTTTTGGGAAAAGTAAAAGCTATAGGGTGGTGTGGTTCTAATGGTAATTCCATACTTATATTAATCCTTGCTGCACGGTGGCTCAGTGGTTAGCACCGTTAGCGCCTCACAGCTAGAAGATCGTCGGTTGGCGTCCCGGTGAGGACACCCGGGATCTTCCTGCGTGGAGTCTCCATGTTCTCCCCGTGCAGCGTGGGTTCTCTCCGGGTTCTCCGGCTTC